AAAGGATAATCAAACTGAACCAGAATTGTGATTTTCCAGTAGCTGATAGGCCAACAATCTCGAGAAAGGTACTCGGTGATATGCCCCCGCCAAGCAATGTATCTAAAGATTGCAAACCAGTTTCAAGTAATTCATCCGCTTCTTCAAGTTTGCATAAATCGTATGCACTAATTAGCTCCATTATAACATCACTTAAATCTGAAAAAAAAAAGATGAAAATTTTAACTTGAATTTAAAATGCTAAACAGAAACGACTAATGGACATATAAAGTTACAGATAACTGAATAACTCAATAATATAAGTAATATTGCAACAAATAAGTATTCTTGCAAATCAGTATGTATAGCAATAACAAATCAATATGTAAGTAGTGGAGAAATAGTGAAGCTGTTAAGTACAAATGAAAGTATAGAAAATTGATAACTGATAAATAAGTATTCCAGTAAACAGTATTTTAGTAAATAAGATGAATAATTACTGAAGTAAATACTAAAGAAAAAAAAGATCTCAAAAAATAAGCACTAAATCCCTTAACTTTATTGATCTAAAATAGGCAGAAAATGGCAAGAGATCAAAGATTGATAAGATTACAGATAATATAATGAGTAGATTAGAAAAATAAGCTAAACTTGCAATGACGTAAGAGAAGTCTATCATCAATAAATACATACGTATATCATGTGACATGTCATGATGACTTGAGGAGAAAGAATGAAATGATTATCAAGTACAGCTAATGGATGGTAATCAGTTATCAGTGATAAAATATGCGCATTATTCTAATTAATGATTAGAATGATTTGCTGGATGTACAATCGTCTCAATCCAATTTTTTTAGAAGTGATATACTTCCGGACCAGCTTATCATGTCTGGGTAAAGGGGAGGGGGATTAATAGGGTTTGATAGGCTTGCGCTCATGTTGCGACTGAACTGATAATGGTACTTGTTTATCAGTGATCAGTGATTTTATAAATCTAGAGTGAGGGGGTGAGAATTCTCTCCTAAAACTAAACCTGGAAATTGAATTCCAGGAATAATGAAGACCTGGTGATGGTACTGTGTAAATCTGACGCAGCACCTGTACTATCTCAAGGGATGTCATAAATATTTTATCTGGAAATAGTGGTACTCTCTAAAAGTTTCAGCTTTTTTCTTCCTACCTAATCAGAATTTAGATGGCATTTGATGTTATCACTTTTTTTAAGGAGGAAATTTAAAATTTTTGAAATTTTTTGAAAATTATTTTTGAATATTTATTGCGGCGCGAAATTATTTTAATTTGCATCAGTTGTTTTAGTTTAAATTTACGTGATTTGCATTTATGAGGATAAATACATTTACTTGATATCATCTGTTATAGGTAACTTATGTTAATAAGTTTACGTATAATAAGGGAGAAAGGTTGTATTAATAGTTTTTATTTCTAATTAATCCAATTTATTGAACAGATAATTTATCATTCATCAGATTTTAGTGTATTACTCAGGATGCAATTATTGAATGTTTAATTTACTGGGAAACTGCTGAACTATCAATGAGTGTACTTTAACTGTCACATTTATTAGGAAAAAATATGATTGTATCTTATTTGTTCAATAAAAAATGTATGTATCAATTGATACTTTTGAATTTAAATCTTAAAAATTCCTATTAATTTTAAAAATTAATTTTACAGCGATAATATGGAAAAGAAACGAATAATTGCATTAATTGATATGGATTGCTTCTATGTTCAAGTAGAACAACGTCTTCAGCCTCATCTGTATGGTAAACCGGTCGCCGTTGTTCAACATAGTAGTGCTAATTATCGAGGTGGTGGGTAAGCATTTTCAAGTGATTTATCGAAATTTTTAATCCGAATTCATCATCTTTAGGTTCTCACTTGAAAGTCATTTCGAATTACAATTTCGAATTTTAATTTTAAAACTTCATACTTCACTTATTTAATTTGATTATATTCTCACTCGCAGTTTTTTTTAAACTTTTTTACTAAAGATTATTTTACGTTTACATAGAGTAATTTTTAATATTCATTTCTATTTAATAAATCATTTTATTGCTAATTCCAAATTTCTATGTTTCATAGCAACCTTTTTTTATCATCCATATTGCAGCTTACTTGCTGTATCATATGAAGCAAGATCTTTTGGTATCAAACGTGGTATGTTTGGTGAACAAGCAAAGGCCTTATGTCCTGATTTGACACTTTGTTATGTACCAGTTGGCGAACATATTGATAAGGCAGATATCACACGTTATAGGTTAGCTTGAAAAGCAATATTATACCTATTATTGCGCTGTATGGAATTTTACCTTATACAGGTACTCGAATATTTGTGCAGAATGCGGAATTATGATGTTAAGCTTACCACCGTTATGCAAATATGCCGTGCTTTGTATTTGCAAGTTTGGGAATAATTTTGAAATTATCTCGGGTTTAAGGGAGTTACCGTTATTTTGGAGTGCATGCATTGTAAACGTCATACTATTTTGGTCTTTTTCAATCGGTTTAAAGTCAAGAGAGAGAAAGGGTGAACACTGCAAGGCTATAACATTAGATAAGAGAGTGTTTCATTACAGGGATGCATCCGCCGAAGTATTTAAAGTTTTGCATGAATTCGATTCACGAATTGTCGTTGAACGAGCATCGGTTGATGAAGCTTACTTGGATCTCAGTGCTTTAGTACAGCATATCTTCGAAACCACTAATCCTTCAGTTAAAGTATTCCTTTTTTGATTTGATAACCATTGCCTCATATTTTTCGACCTTTATTATTTACCATTCAACATAGTATAGGATGAATTGCTTATTTTATATGTTTCCTTTTTTTTTTGCCTAATGATTCCTTGGTGACCTTTGGTTGGATACTTTATCTTCGTTGTAAATAGCAAAAAACATTGTTGTCTTCCGGATTCTACATCAGTGATTGAAAGCAGTCTGGATAGCTGATGATTAGATAAAATTCCTTTTTGTTTCCATATCGGATTCAATTTACAGTATATGGAACCTAATGCAGTGGATTTATTTCCAACAACACACGTTGCTGATGGAGCTGATTTGAATGAAGACAAAATCCCTGATTGGAAATATGATAGGGTTGAATCTTTGCACTCCTTTATATCAGAAGCATACGAAACACAGGATGAATACAAGGTATTATTTGGATATAAGCCAAAAAATGAACATCTAAATATTGAATTTCAGGTCACTTTATCTATGTGACGAAGCTGTTACGGATGTCCATTGAGATATTCATAAAACTTTCTACCTGAACACTTAAATTTTGAGTTTTAATGGATAGTAGTTTTTGAATAAGTTTGTGATAAGATGGCTGAAGAATTGTTAGCAGAAATAATGTATTTGCATGAGCATGGATCTATTTCATTGTCATATGATATACTGCATATATATTATTGGAATTATGTAATTTTTAGCTAAAATTAATCATCGGAGCTGATGTGATAGAACAGATAAGGAGTGCTATAAAGAAAAACACTGCCTTCAATTGTTCTGCTGGAATTGGTAGTAGCAAGGTTTGATCTTTTGAGAATTTTCAGAATTTTCAGCTGTGTTTTCCGTGAAGATATGAAAAAAATATATAAATAAAATAGTCCGAAAAATTGTTTTCAACTTATTTATTTATAAAGATAGAAGTTGTAATTAAAATTAGAATTGCAAATCAATTAATGACTGTTCTGATTAACGGAATTCCAAGTTTTTTGTCAAATCCTTAATTATTGTCATGAATCACTTAAGTGATTATTTAATTCGAAATGTAGTTTGGTATTATGCTTCAGACATAAACTTGATGGGTTCAGAGGATTCTTCGTTAAATGGCACATATTTCAATGTTTCCAAATCTCCATATTTTAGATGATTGCTAAATTGGTTTGCTCACGACATAAGCCTGGACAACAGACTGTTGTATTCAATGAAGCTATACCTAAAGTTTTCGAATACACTCCTATAAATGAAGTACGAAATCTTGGCGGCAAATTGGGAAGAGCATTAGTGGAAAAATTCGATGTTAAAGTACGTATTGCTTTTCACGGACTGAACCACCAAAACAGATCAAATAGTTTATTTGTATTCACGAAAGTTTATAGTGTTTATTTTTCAAAAAATGCAGACAATGGGAGAATTATCACAAATATCAATGTCAGATCTCAGCGAGTGTTTTCCGGCTCAAGCAAAATGGATTTACAATATTGCGCGCGGTAAGGTTTTTGCAACTTTTTTAATATTTATTTTGAATTTTAAATATAGTCGTACTTTGCTATGCGGAACCTAGATTTAACGCCTCCAGGAATGTAACATCCGAAAAAACATAACCCAGAAATACATTCAGATCAGTTAAAAGTTAAATTTTCCAGTAACATGATAGATTCCATAACATCTGGTGGTACCTAACCATTAAATGCAGTATGATTAAAAGTCAAATTCCATTTAGCTTCTTAATTTTTGTTTTAATATTAAGAGAAATCTGATCAGAGAAACGTTTTTCAGTGTTTTAGGCATTGATGAGGAAAAAGTCACTGCACGTGACAAACAAAGTTCGGTTGCTGTGAGTAAAAATTTTCCCGGTCCTAATGCTCTAAAAACTGATGGTGACGTGAAATTTTGGCTGGAAGGTTTAATCAAAGAATTGGTGAAACGCTTAATTGACGACCAAATAACAGTATGGCTTAATTTTATCACAGATGCTACTACTTTCTCTTGAAACTACTCTCTTCTGATTTCTTCATTTTATTAGTTATGATATATTAGCAATGCTCTCCTTATTTCATTGAATAACGTTGATGTAACAAGATATATATACACACACAAAAGATCTGGTCAAATTAGAAAGATTACAAGCACATGTTAAGTAATAAAGGTGATGCGGTTTAAATTAGTGGTATTCTCGATGGCTAAGTTGAAAGCAATTTCAGTTGACATCACTAAGCCTTTGTGCTGAGATTGATATGTTTCTAATTATGCATTGCTGTGGAAAGATAGTGCTGCATTTAATGACCAGGCCAGTATAATTTTTAGTGCTAAAATATGCATATTTTTAGGAAGCTTTCATAGTTTAGAAACTTTGTTCACACTTTCCAAAAAAAAATTATAGTTCGTCAAGAAAAATTCAAATTTCATAGTTTTCCATATAGAATATCCGAACCGCTTCAACACTTCATATTGGCTGTACAACCAATGTTCATCTTACTAGAAGTATGCAGATGAAGACATATGACCCGAAAGCTCTATTTAATTCAATTTGGGCAACTTTTCGCCATATTAACAAGTCGAAAATACCGGAAACTTGGTAACTTGAACAAACAGTATTTCTTGTTTGAATAAAAATAATAGAAAATATTTTTCAGAAATATGTAGTTCTTTTTTCTGGAACTCAGTTGATTTTATCCAACAGCAACGGTATATGTTCCTACTGAAGTGACAGTTTCTGAGTTACTATCTCATCCAGTCTATTTTTGTTTAAACAATTGCTGTATCAGCTTTAGTTCTTTTGCAACTTTTCAATTCAGTTTTAACTTTTACTTTTTCATTAAAATAGTTTAATTTTCAAAAAATTCAATGCGCATGCTAGGGATCCATCGGTGAAGAATATTACGCTTTCCGCAGATCGATTTCGGGAAGGGATTGATGGCCGTTCAAAACAAATCACAGAATGGGTAACGACGGCAATAAATAGAGCAGTGAATTCAGTGACAGATGCTTCTACCAGTGCGGACACTAAAAATTCAGCTATGCCTAGTGAAAAGGTGACGAAGACTTCATCACAAACTTCGGTAAACGTTTTAAATTTTATCCTCTTTTAGAATTAAACTAATTTCTGGTTTAGCTTACAACTTGAGGATTTCCCACTTGTTTGTGATGGTACATTGGTCAGTGTAAAAGACGATAACCTAAAAATTTCCTCAGTTTAAGTTGTTGCTTCGATATGAAGTCTCAGTTAATCGCTTCGAAGCTTACTAATTTTAGTGCTATTTTTGTATCCATCCAGAATATTTCTGAAACTTGATCTTTCATATGGTTGGATAGATTCTAAATCTAAAAATACTTCTCACCGAGTGCAAAAGTTGTTTGTTTATGCAGTCTTGTTTCTTGGCTAAAATATACGAAAACTTTTGTTACAGATTAATGTACACCATTCAGAAAGGAAGGTGCATGAACAGGATGATGATATACAAATTATTTTTGATGTAAGGAAAGAAAGGAAAAGTACTTCTACTACTACTACTACTACTAGTACTGCTCTTCATTCTAAAACAATCGCTAAAAAACGGAAAAAAGAGAAGTGCCAGAAAAATCAAGTGTACCAATAAGGAAAATATCAGATTTCTTCAAAAAACAATGAATTTTTTATTGATCTTATACTAAGCATATTGAAACCGAGTGAAGGATAAAGTGAAACATAGTGTTTCTTTATTTCTTTGTTACTTACTTGTATCTCGTCCGCATGGTTTATGTAATCTTATCGGGTAAATCCTTGCCTTTATGAATTTCATTTTTGGAATTTTTTAAAATTTCATCGAATTCCCTACAATTGCATGTTATTAAATTGTTAATTTTTTTTACGGTGTAGTAAGATTAATTATGAGTACCAAACTGTTTCTTAGATTTAAAAATACCAAACTATTTCTTAGGCATTATTTTTAAGGCTTAGTTATATGTTTTGCTAATACCTATGCTCTGTCTTTGTAATAAAGAATCCTTTAGATTTGGGTGCATCTTTTATATTTTTCTCAATTTTAAATAATTCGAAACGAATGTATGGAAATTCAAATTTTGAAAATTTTCAAGGATTCTTTAATTTAAAAAAGAAAAAGATCTTTGGATGACCTTTACTATTATTATTATCCAGTTATACTTCACGGAAAAAAAAAGAAACGGAATGATTTTATTAGATTGGATTCGTGACCGATTCAATGAGTTCTGTGATACCAGTCTAAAGAGATCATTGTATTTGCATAAATTAAAAGTTTTCACTTTATGAGAATTTGACAAAAAAAAACGGCGGTATGATGAACAATCATATTGCGCAAGCTTCTCCTTCGTAACAGTAATAGATACAATTAAAAATTATAGTACATTGTAAATTAAATATTTTCATTCAATTGAAAACTTTTTAAAAATATTAGAATAAGTGAAAATTTCATTTTTTTTTGAAATTCTTGAAGAATTTTTTCTTTCTTTTCATTGTTTCGGAATGTTTTGTTTTTTGAAAAGAGAAAAAAGTTTTGAATTTCTCAAAAGAAGAATTTCTGGGGAATTTTTTTTGTTAAGATTTTGGCAAGTTTTGACCTTTCACCTTTAGAGTTCTCTAATTTAAAAATAAATATTTCATTCAAATAAATGGACGGAGCAAAACAACGTATTGGCCCAAGAAATGAGGAAGAGATAGGGAAGGAAGAGGAGAGGGCGAGAGAGAGAGAGGAGGGAAGTTGTGCTCTGGTACCTTTTTTTTCGAAAACATGTGCACGGAGTGGGATTCGAACCCACGCATCGATTACGATACCAGAAGGCCCCAATACCACACTATTACACTCGTGTGAAGCATATGCTTGAGTCTGGCGCCTTAGACCACTCGGCCATCCGTGCCATTCATACAAGCGTAGGCTAATGGCTATATCAATGATAAGATCGATACATTGAGAATATTCAAATTTTAGAAATATGTTTTTAGAGAAAGGAAAATTTTGCAAAAAAAGTTTTTTTTTTTCAAATTTAAATCTGGAAATTTAAATCTTTCCAAGTAATATTTTTCAATTTAAATTTAAATTTTTCAAGATGATATTTTTTTAAATTTTACAATTATAATTGTAACAAATTAATGAGGAAATTTCAAAAATAGAAGCACACATAAATGTTACAAAATATTGCATTTTTTAAATTTTAGAAATTACTAATTTAAGTTTTCAAATTCAAATTTTTTTTCTTTAATTTGATAAGCTTGATTGATTTATGAATTGAATTGAATGATTTAACGATTAGCAGATACATAATCTTTTTTTCCGGGTAAAATTTTATACTAAACCATTGCATTCCAATATATTATTGAATTTTTCCTGCACAATCTTTCTTATATATCAATAATTTCTATTATTAAGTATTTGATTTCCTTATGTCTCATTTATTTTCACTTTTTATTTTAATCTTTATTTGTTTTTTCAACAATATTCGTTTCTATAATAAGATAAGGGTAGGAAGAAGGGAGGATAAAGATCCAGCTTTTTTTTTTTGTTTTCTTTTTTCTTATATCATTAAAAGAAGCTATATAAAATATTAAAATATAACAATTAAAGAACTGATAACATCATTATTATCATCATTTTATACTTATTGTTTGTATTCATTTGATCATAAAATTCTCTTCCCATCATTCACTGATAAGGATTGTTGATGCAAAATTCACTGATAAGGATTGTTGATGCAAAAGAGAAATGGAATGTTTTAGACGGGGAAAATTCTTCTCAAATTTGATATTTATAGATATATATATTTTTTTTTATCCTTCATTACTCTCCCATTTATACGCATATGTCTTATCATTTAATCGTTATCATAATCAGTTTATACCATTACTAATGCTAATATTTTTATTTTATCAATAAATTTAATAATGATCAATTTGTTAATCACATAAGCTGCAATATTTATGAATATCATCAAATCATTCTTAAGATATGATAACATAACGGTTGCTAATGATCATTTCTTCAATACTCTCATATTAAATCATTATTTCATTATTATCATTATTATTATTATTAATGATTATCACTATTATTTATTAATATTATCAATTTAATTCATCTTTCATTCCATTCATCTGTATTAATCCTTAATTTAAAATATTAATTTTAAATATTAGATTTAGATGGTAATGATAATTTAAAGAATAGATTTGAACTTAAAAAGCTTATTATACTGTGAATAAAAGATAATTAATGCAATTTTTTGTTGCTTTTAAAAATGTAAATATTACTACTTTGTATCTTTTAGCTATAACTTAGTGATAATAATAGCATAATCAGTAATTCATTGATATCAGTTATAAACGATTTTTATCAGCCAATAAGCATCTTGCAAAATTCTGTTATAAATAATTGATTTAATGTCCAATGATAATTTCAAATATTTTTTAATTTGTATGCATAACTTTCTGTAACTCTTTCATAAATCATAAAACAATAAGGTTTTTGAAAGTTTATTTTTTTCAAAAAAAAAAATTGTAAGCTATGAATTTAATTAGTTGATTGGAAAGCATTGATCCAGTTATTAATTTTCAATTATCATTCCAATTAACTCATTAAATATATGGCTTATAAAATTAGAGCATGAAATGGTTTTTATTTGTAAAATATTAATTGGATAGAAAGAAATGAATAAAAAATTATCGAAAAAAATTATGTTTTGCTTGGATAAAATAAATTGAAGTAATATGATAAGTGTAAACTTTATTCGTATACCAACAATAAACAATAACATTGATAAATAGTTCCTTTCAAGTTCATAAATCATCTGTTATCATTATCTTAACATTTTATCAATTATTATTGTATTACTAGCGACAAATGGCAGTGGTAATGATACTAATAATAATGATAGTATTTATTTGTACTATTAATATAATCCATCATTATTATATTACTAACAATAAATGGCAGTTGATAAAAAATAAACAAAAATACTGATGATTTTGAATATTCATAATAATGAGCTCATCTAATCACATTATTCATTAGTGGTACAGGTAATACTATTATCATTATCAATATCATTATCACTGCCATTATCATGATTGAATCAAAAATGAACATTTTTAATTATTCAAGTGCATTTCCTTTTCTACCTCATCTTCTGTTCCTTTTTTTGACATGAAAAAAAAAGGAAATAAATAGAAAAATTAATAAATTGACAAAATGACAAAAGCAATTTCTTCCTTTATTTCTTTTTTTCTCTTATTTCCTCCGCTATTTTCTTTCTCTCAAGTTTCAAACATTTAAAAAAAAAAAACTTATCCCTTAGTATAGCGAGTTAGTAAACATTTCATTAAACACTTCATCATCACTTTTTGATCATTATTATATCAATTCAATTCAATTCAGTTCAATTCAATTTAATTCAATTCAATTCAGTTCAAATCAATTCAATTCAATTCAATTCAGTTCAATTCAATTCAAACAATTTAAAAAAAAAAACTTATCCCTTAGTATAGCGAGTTAGTAAATATTTGATTAAATACTTCATCATCACTTTTTAATCATATTATATCAATTTAGTTCAATTCAGTTCAGTTCAGTTCAATTCAATTCAATTCATTTCAATTCTTTCTTCTCCATGTTTGATCATTAATTAAGTATTTACGTTTGGCTGATGATATCATAAGAGAATCAAAATAGAATGAAGATAAGAAGATCACTTTTTTTTTTTCACTTTTTGATTCTTTTCCTGATTATGGAAAATGTTAAGGAAAAAAAATGATTTTCCGTAATCGTCAAAATTTTCGGGGTTTTCCGGATATTTAGGATAAATTATCCGTTATCTGATATCCTGTAACTCTTATCATTGCAAATCATTCAAATCTTCTCGTAATATTTCGTATCGCAAATCTTTCGTTTCAATATCATAATATGACATTATTGAAATAATGGAATTTATCGGTATAAAATGATATCAGTAATTTGCAATCGATAATTAAGTCATTAAGTTCCATGCTAACTTAATGATTTTAGGCATCAAAAATTGAACGCCAGAAATGTAACTTCCAATATATATGATAATAAAAATACCGGATAAAGAATAGTGGGAACCAGATTTTGGGATTCATATTCCGATCAAGAAACCGGATTTAATCGTTCACATTTGTGCAACTCATTTAAATCTATTTTCTCTATCTTTTGATATATTGATTTGCTTTCTATTTTTTGTTTTTTTTTTTGTAAATATGTATATTTGATTCTTTGCTTGTTTTTTTCCTTTTTTAAATTTTTAATTGCAACTGAAAGTTATCATTTTATTGCGTAATTTTTATGATTTTTAAATTTTATTTTAAATAAGTAATATCAAAGTTGATAAAGTAAGTAAAAATAGGAAGAAATTAGATGTACAAGATAAAGGGATGTTAATGGAAATAATTAAAAATAAGATTGAAATGATTGGATAAGATAAAATGAGATAAAGAAGATATTTAAATATTTTAATTAAAATTTTTAATTTTTCTTGAAAAGAATTTTTTAAAGATTACAATATTACAGGACAATATTTCCAATATTACAGTACATTGGAAAATTACAGACAATAATAATACTTGAAATTGTCCACAAAAGTATGTTGACATGTTATTTACAGGTAGGATATTCAACCATCTCATTTGTATCTTTTCAAATATAATTATATACAATTCTATTTCAAATATTTCGATTAAACTTTTAAGTTTTCCATTATGTCAAGATCTATTTTTGCATTTAATTCAGTATGTTTATGCTATTTGTTATCATAACTGTATATTATTTAAAATTTTTACCCATAACTGACCGGAATTATTCGCTGTGATTAGGAACAATCCATATGCTAATACAAGTTTAATTATCCAATGAGCTTCTTAAAAAAAAGGAAAAAAAAGAAAGAAAAATACGAAAAAAAAAAACAAAACAAAACAAACAATTCCGATATGAAAAGGTCATATCAAATCACTTTTTGTCACAGTCATTCAGTTATCAGTTATCAAATTCTAATAAACTGTTTAGATTTCCAATTAGCTAAATCTTAACTAGAATTTTGACAAATATATCACGCTATATATTTGACGAACATTACAATCATTTTGTCAAGCTTATCTCACATTAATGACAAATTAACAACTTATCACTTTATTGGCAATAAAAATTATCACTAATTGATGATATCGTTTTGGAATGATTTATTTCAAAAATATTACTTGTAGCTTAACGTGTTACACAATAATTTCACTCAAAGGTTATCCTATAATCATTGTTAACTATTAGCATCACTTTTGGTCTCATCATTACCTCCACAGTCATCATTATCATCATCACAACTACCAATTTATTACCACTACTAACAACAACAACAACAACAACAACAACAACAACAACAACAACAATAACAATAACAACAACAACAATAAAAAAACAACAACAACAATAACAGTAATAACAACAACAAACAACAACAGCGACAACTACACACATTAGTGATCAATTTGCTAAGTTAGAAAGGGTTGTTACTGTTAAAATCAGGTAAATATCCTAATGTAAGTATAAACACTGTCAACAAAACATCTGTCACTTGTCGTTACAATTTACCGTAATCATTTCGGTTATCCATTAAATATCACATAGAAATAATGTTATTTTCGGTTTTTGATTAACTTTTAATTTAAATTCAAGTATTAAATAAAGGCAATAATTTATTTTTAGAACAAGAATATAAGGAAAGAATTCGACAAGCATTTTTGGCATTAAGTAATTATCGCGATATCTCGAGATAATATATTTCTTACCTCTTATTTGAATAGCTTTACTAATTTTTATTTATAACAACAAAAAAACATTTTATTACAATTTAAATTGATA